TATAGTAAATTAATTCCATGAAAGAAATGGACAATCAAATGTTGTTAATCACTCAAAAATAAATTCAAAATGTGGCTCGGATCGCGATCGGATTGAAAAAAATGAGCTATGCAACGAGCCAAATTTTCGGATAGAAATATTTTCAAATTTGAGGCGTGGTGGAAAATTGACGGTAGTAGAATAACAGATTCTCGTCTTAGCGTTGTACAAGAATTCAACACACACATAGATGAAAGTGAAACAAGCTGTGATGGCTCCAGAAATTTTTATGTGGATAACCCGGAAAGGGAAAAACCACGGGGCCGACCCAATTGCGAAAATCCACTATCGATTGATGATTACAGAAATATCTTATTCCACATACGAGAAATGGTTACTAGATTTTCATATTACTGCATCGACTGGTGGCGTCTAGTTGGTGGTGATCGACGATAGATCACAGAGGTCAACGGAAGTCAACGGTGGTCGAGAAAGGCGAGCGATGGTTGATGGAGGTCGACGGTGGTAGACGGCGGACTACGGTCGGCGGTCGGCGGTGACAGTCTGTGGTGGTCGATGACGATCGGCGATGATAGTGATGATGTTGGACTTGAACTCCATCTCAAAGCCTCAAGTTTTCCCTTAAGTCTCTCCCCTCATATGAGAGGTGGGGCTCTATTTATAGTGTTATTGGTGCAATTAATGCAAGAATATGAACAATTTTGATCGGGTGGTCCGGAGAGCTTCCCTCGATCGGATGAAGTTTGATAGACATTTGAGTGCCTTAATTATGTCGGAATTGAGCAATCTTGGGCTTGTTGGATTTGTCTTGTCGAGACGCTCGATTAGACTATAAACTCACTAAATTCAACATTCGTTTGATCATTCAAATGTGTCTGAAAGTCTTCCAAGAATAATTTAATCACTTGATTTGACTCGGACTGAATTGACTTTAATATTATTAGGTCCTTGTCATCGAGTCGGTCAATTTGACTATAAGTTTATTGAAATCGGAGCTCTAGTTGACTTTTTATCAAGATTTGAATATTTCTTACTCAAAATATTCTCGAGATTTGTGCCAGATGATGAAAATTTATCAGTGACGTATCAAAGATGATTTTAAGCCAACCCCAGCTCGGCTCGAAATCAGATTTTTAACAGCCTAAGTGATGTTAAGGATGTGAATTTAGCGAGTTTTGGCTCAGATCAATATCAGATTGAAATAAACGAGCTAAACTAGCCAACCACAACTCGGCTCGAAATATGATAGTTAACAACCCAGTCATAAATAGGCCCCAACATGCATCCTCTCTTTAATGATTAGACACCAACATGCACCTTCTCTTTAATGATGGCTGATACTTCGGCATTTGATTCGTCTTGAGGGGTACTTGCCAAATGAGCTTGACGAATAGACCCGACAGCTGCAACATGCAGTCGTGTATGTATAAGAATTGTTATGTTTTTTATAGGGGCTTCTACATAAATCTTCCCAACCCCTATATATTTACATATCTAACACATAAATTTTTCTTCTTATATTTATAGCACCCAAATCATCTCAATCACATAAAACATATTGCTATTTTAATGTTTACAAAGTTACACATTTTTCATGGAACCGATATAGAAATTAATTTTGTTGTCAGATATGCAAATACATAGAAATTGAGTGGTATTTATGTAAATCTTAATTAAAGATATGCCGTTCAAAATGAATTTTGTGAAAAAAGAAATTAAACTAATGATATGATTAACAGCTAATTAACGCCATGGCATTCTAAATTATAAGCTCTGTAAAAATTTTCTAAATTAAGACCTCAGCCGAGATTTGCAGAAATTAATTAACCTTAAATTCAGAGCCAAACTCTGCAAATTAACACCTAAACTCCTCTTTTGATATTTGCAAATTAGTCCCATGCATGATATTTTAGTATTTACAAAGTCGCCCTAAAAATATTTCATAAAATTTATGTCAAACATTTTTTTAATGTTATAATATTTGATGCGTGCTAGAAAATTCGCGGCGGTAGAATAACAAATTATCGTTTAAGCGTTGTACGAAAGTTCAGCACACACACAGATGAATTAGAAAAACACTGTGATGACTCCAGAAGTTTTTACGTGGAAAACCCGTTAGGGAAAAACCACGGGGCTTGACCCAGTTGCGAAAATACACTATTAATTGATGATTACAGAAGTCCCTTGTCCCACAGACGGGAAATAGTAACTATATTTCTCAAATTACAATGTTGATTGACTGCGTTTGATTGGTGGTGATTGATGACGGTAGGTGGAGGTCGACGACGGTCGGTGTTGGTCGACGATTGTCGGCGGTGGTCGTCTGAGGTCGGCGGACGATGGTCAACGACGGAGGTCGGTTGTTCGGTTGTGGTCGCCGGTAGTCGGCGGTAGTGTTGAGCTGCAGCTTCTCCTCAAGACCTCAGGCTCTCTTTAGGCTTCCTCCCCTTAATGATATGAATGATGCTCTATTTATAGTGTTATGGGTGCAATTAATGCACGAATATGAACCGTTTTGATCGGACGGTCCGAAGAGTTTCCCTTGATCATACGGCGTTTAATGGACATTTGAGTGCCTTAATGATGTCAGAATTGAGTGATCTTGGGCTCGTTGGATTCTTCTTGTCGAGTCGCTTGATTTGAGTCTAAACTTGTCATATTTGACGGCCGTTTGACTTTTCAAATGTAATCATAAATCTTATAACTGTGATTTAATGACTTGATTTGGGCTTGATTTGACTTGTATTGGGCTAGTTTTCATATCATCAGGTCTGTCTCATCGAACCGGTCAATTTGACTATAAGTTTGCTAAAATCAGAGCTCTGGATGACTTCTTATTAAGATTTGAATGTTTCTTGCTTAAAATATCACCTCGAGATTCGTGTCATGCCTCGAGATTCATGTTGGATGATGAAATTTTGTTGGTGGTGTATCAATTTTCTTTTAACAGCTCATTTAATAATAAAAAGGAAGAGTTACATTCATACCACTAAATTACTATTTATTTACATATCTAACACCTAAACTTTAATTTTTAAATACATAACACCTTATATGTGCATAAAAGCTGAATTAATTTTTTAAATGTTAAAAGGAGGTACTTTTTATGATGTAAAAAGGAATGTGCATCATAAGGCAATGAAGTAATTTTGGGACATGCAAAGTTTAGTTAGATATGTAAATACATAAAAATTGGTATTAATTTTTAAAAGTTTAGATGATGATATCTTTATTTTTCTGTTAATTTGTGATCTACCTCTGGTAAATAATTTTAATTATTATTTAAAGTAATGTTTATTATTTTATATAAAAATAGTATTCAAACGTCTTCTAATCATTCTTGCACTGTTTTTTTCCTTATAACAAAGAAAAAAGAAAACTGCATAGTTGTTTTATTCTATTATTGTCATCACTTGGATGCTCTCTAAAGATCTGTTTGGGACAATTTTCTGTTTGTTTTACGTTTATAATTGCCACCACATTTTGATTTAGGAACTGCTTTCTTTCTGTTTTGTAGAAATTTTTTTTTTTTTGGAGATTATAATTATCACCGTAGTTTTTTAAGAAGTTATTTTTTTCACAACAACTTTACAATTATATTTTTAAAAACATGGAGTCATCCTAACTAGACCCTGAGTTTTCAAGAAGGAACAAATTCATATATCATTACAATATGTTGCTTCAAAGATATTGAAATATTTCTTAATTTAAAACTAACTAATCAATGTATTATCTTTAAGAAAAAGATTGAAATAATAAATGCAAATTCATGTCTATACATTTGTTGCAAACACACACAGAGACTTTACATTTATTAAATTCAATATATTTTCAGTGTTTACTTTAAATTATAAATCACAAAACAAATTATACTAATAATCAAAGTAATCACATAATCTTATCTCTCTTTTGTATAACATATTTAATGAACATTTTTCATATAAATGTGTTGAATATATGAGTATAGCAGCACATAAAACCATCATCATCTTCAAAATTACTTGGGCTTCTTTTTTGCAGTGCTCCCAACTTGAATCACAAGAGTAGAGGAATGCTCTGCTCATTTCTAAAAAAGTTACTTGGATCAACCTCACTCTTCACTTGAGCCAATCTTCTAAAATTACCTTTAAAATACTTTTCACCCCAAACACTTGCCTCCTTATAACTTGTGTTCCCTTCTCGATTAGTACCCAAATCCAAATCTCTGTAATTAACATAAGCAACTCTTGGATCTTTGGAAACATAAGGGGTCATAAACTTATAAAATTTTCTCGTCCATTCCAAATACTTCTGTGTTTTTCTCATTCCCTCTTCAGTCCATTGAGTGATATATTGTATATCATACATGCTTCCATTTCTATGGGGAAATGGAGTCTCATTTTCAGAGACTTCTGCCACCATTCCACCTAAAGGGTTAATAATCATCAAAAGCGATTGCTCCCCCTCAAGAAGAAATTTAAAGATCTCTTTCCACTTTTCTTCACTTATTGGCGAAGTCATCAAATCTGATTTATTCTTGAATGATGTAGTGTTTGACCATGGCTTTCTATCAAGTAGAACATCTAAATGTGAAGTAGAAGAGTAACCAGCAAATTTCAAAATTGACTCAATCCAACTCATTTCTAAGCAATCTATTTCCTTCAATTCTAATTCTGGAAAGCTTTGTTCCAAGATAGAAATAAGTTCATATTTTTGACCAAGGAACAAAGAACTAAAAGTGGCTTGAATAGTTTTATTTGTGTTATCTTTATTCACTGGCGCCAATATTGATTGCAAAAATATTCTTTTATCGAGGTTGTAAGCTATATTCTGAAACTTATTGATGAGCTTTGTAGCACCTTCTTCTAGTGTTTTTGAAATTGTAAAGACTGTGACCTGCATGAAATTTTTACTAATTTAATAAAGGAAGAGTAAGTTATTTCAATGACTTAATTCAATGAGATTTGATAAATTAATTATAGCAATAATCAAGTTAGAGTTTATAATTGTCATTCGAAATAAGGCTAGACATTTCATTTAGTATGATGAAACAAATTTAGAAACTTTATAAGCATTTTTCATTGTTAAGTCTTAATTTTTATAATTGTGAATTTGAGCTATTATATATTCATTTGAAAATTTTGTCATATATTTCTTTAATAATAATATTTTAGATCTGGTGACCTACTGTTCAATCATCAAATTAAAATACATATCATGAATTTCTTGCTCACACCTCTGAGATTTAAGATTCATTTAAAATGTCTATATTTCGTTGCAAAAATAGTTGTCAAACTATTTTGTAAGAATATAAAATGTTTGAAAGTTGACATAAATATTGTATTGTTTTTATCTTCACGAAAAAGTTGAAACTCAACTTTTTTTATTGCTATCAATCAAGATCTAATTGTGAAAAGCTTATCCTTTTAAAAAATTGAAAATTAATAATATGTTGTGATAAAAAGGTTTGACAATAATTTGTAAAGCTATATTGCAAAAAAGTTGTCCAAAATACCCCTTAGATGCCTTCATCTTCGAGTTCAACCTAATCTATCTCTAATTCTCCATTGACATATATTAATAAAAAATCATTACCAAAGAAACATATTTATATGAAAAGATAAGCAAATTCCGTAAGTTCAATTTTCTGATCCCTTATTTCTGAAGCATTTGAAATGAGAGGCACAAAAATAAATAACTTTGAAATTAACAAACTAAGTTCAAAAAATATTCAAATTAAATAGAAAAAAATTTAAATTGTCAAAATAATTTGGAACATCTCACCTTTTGTGGGACTTGAACAAGATTTATCTTATAAGACAATATGACTCCAAAGCTTGCTCCGCCTCCTCCTCTCAAGGCCCAGAAAAAATCTTCACCCATGGCTTCCCTATCAAGAATTTCACCTTTTGCATTCACAATTCTTGCATCGATAATATTATCAATTGCAATGCCATAAGCTCTCATAATAGTACCTATTCCTCCACCACTGAAATGACCACCAACCCCCACAGTAGGACAAGAACCCGCAGGAAATCCAACAACTCTACTTTTCATAGCAATAGCATAATATAGTTCTCCTAAAGTAGCACCAGCTTGAACCCAAGCTGTGTTCATCAACGAATCAATAGTTATAGAACTAAGCTTTTGGAGATCTATGATTATAAATGCATCGGTTAACGTTGAAGCATATGAGAGGCCTTCAAAATCATGACCACCACTACGAGTTTTTATGAGGATATTCAATGCTTTTGAGCAGGAAACAGAGGATTGGACGTCAGATTCCTTACTTGGGGTGAGGATGAGGAGAGGTTTAGAAGAGTTGGTGAGAGTTCTAATATTTTTTATGGAAGAGTAAAGAATGGTTGTGTAGTTTTTGTTAGTTGGGGTGAAAATGAGATTAGAAGGGAAGGAGGCGGAGTTGAGGCATTGGAGAAAGGATTTTTGGGTTGAAGTAAAGGTCTTTGGGCTGAGGGAATGGGAAGGGTTAGGTAAGAAGACAATGAAGAGAAGTATAATGAAAAGTGAGATAGGAAACTTCATTCTTTTCTACTTTACTGAATCGATTTTACATGATCTTGATTCTTGAGGTATTGGGAATACTGTCATAGTTTTATAGTTTCAATTTTTAGAGTTTAGCATATTGAAGGCTAAGGTAACTTGACATATGGAGAGTGAACTTTTGTATTGTTTTACTTCTAAGTATGCATTCATTGATTGTTGATATGCATATAAAATAAAATTCAAATTGACTCATTCTTTCAATAAAAAGAACAAAATTTTTGTCATCATACTCGTTGAATCATTAAATAATAAAAATCATGAATATTTTATGTTCATAAATAAAGAACTATCAATTTAATAATATTTTAGACATGTCTAGTCTTAAGGCAGAGAAGATCAAAGGTGTTGATTTTTATTTTCAAACTCCACAATCCAATCATTTCTTTAAGAAACATTTTCCCCTCATCAAATAATACAAAGCAAATAATATGTTTTCCTTGATAAACAAGATCACTTTTTTTAGAGTTTATTTTACTTGTTAAAGAGAAGAAAACTATTTTCTTTGACCAAAAGTCATCCATCAAGGCAACCTCTTATAAGTAGAAGCTGCCAAATGGTGAAATTGTTAAATTTTAAAATTCAAAATTATGCTGATCACCTGCAGGGTGTTTCTTGTCATTTCTCATTGTTATTTTTCATGTTTACTTGTTCATATATTGCTCCACTAATTCATAATGAAATAAGGGCAGAAAACATAATGTTATTTATTTATCTTACATAATAACAAGTAGCTCATTCAAAATGAGTTTTTGGCTTCTTAGTTAAATGTGACCATTTGGCTTCATTTTTAGCCCACTCTAGTCCTCTAACGTCGCTCCGAAGCACTTCAAAATCTCATTTGCATGACGGACCAAAATTATATTTAAGATCTTCCTTAGACAACTATTTTATCTAAAATAGATCAATTGTATAGAGATTAATTGAGGGATGATAATTGGGAGGCCATGCTCGAGCGGTAGCTACCGGGAGGCTGAAGTTAAGCGATGATGGTTAAAAGACAGTGATTAAGTGATGATAGTCGAGTGATAATGGTCATTGAATGACATAATCAAGTGGCGGTGGTTCGGAGATCGTGATTTGATGATCGTAGTCGAGTAAATATGATCGTGTGGTCGTCATGGTTGGATAACAAGTTTGGAAAGGGTGTGGAGATCTATAGCATTTTAAAGTTCTCTTTGATGTTGGTCAAATGCTACCTCTGTAATCTAATCATCAACATTTGACCATCATTATCCAACCAATACAACCAAGTCATAGTTGATCCAAAAGTATCTTACGGTTGCTGCTCGGTCATTATTGCTTAATCGTTGTCGCAAAAACTGAAATTTTATTTTTTTAGTGAATAAATTCATCTAGAACATATCTTATAATTATTCTTCTTTCCAAGTTTTTTATATAAAGTTATGGTGTTTCTATGTCTCACTCTCATTTGTGTGTACAAAAACTTTGTATCAAATTAAAATATAAACTCTCACTTGATCATGGTAAATTGTCTAACTCGCAATGAACTTAAAGCTAATCCCTCAATCGAATGACTGTGAAGTTATTTAGGAATCTAATGACTTTGATTTTTAGTATTAGGAATTATTTATTTGTAAATATTTCAAGTGTAGGAAACATATTATGTATATATTTTCTTATTATTTTATTGATTGCAAGAAAAAGTTTATGCCATTACATTCTTTTATTTATTTTGAAGTAAATGAATGTAGAAACAAATAACTAACTTAGGACTAAATTTGGGATTAGGGCTGCAAGTAAACCAAGCGTTCGACAAGCTACTTGTAACTCGGCTTGCTTAAAATTCATTCAACTCTTTCATAGTTACTCGATTGCTAAATGATCAAGCTTGAATAACTCGTTGATTGTTTTATTTATGTTCATGAACAATGCCATTTAAAGTTTGTGAATAAGTTCGGGCATGATTACATCTCATTCATGAACAATATTATTTAAATGTTTGTTTTTTGGGCTAAGCGTACATTATTTGATTTCTCATTTATTTTTCCCAATAAGCTGCTCATATAAAACTCAAGTAAGACTCGTTTAAAGCTCGATTAGGACTCATTTATTTTGTTGAACGAGTTATTTGTTAATAAACTCAACAAGTCCTGACATAAACCCAGATCAAGCCAGGCTCACACAAAATGGATATAAATGAGTTTGAACAGTCTTAAAAGCTTGAATTGAGCCCGAGCCAAGCTCAGACAAACTCTTAATAAACAAGCTCGTGGTCAACCAGACACCAATTTGGCTCGGCTCAACTCATTTCCAACCTTGGTACATAATCTATACATGCAGCTTCGAGATACTGCCACACGTACGAATATTTGTTTGGAGTAGAAATTAAAGTATAGGTGAGTATTATTTGTAGCAAAACAATTTACTCTACACGTTCACTGAAATCTTTTATTTTTTTAAAAAAATTGAAATGATAAAAATTTAATAACTTATGATGTATGATGATAACAGTACCAGTTCAATTGAAATTTACTTCTTTTATGTTATCAACATTTATTCAATTCAACTATCTATATAATTACACAGCAAAATAATTCATTTTTTTTCTCACTATTTTGACATAATGCACAATCCTTGTGTATTTAAATATCTAATACCCAAAATTTAATATTTACACTTATAATACTTACAATTATGATACAAAACACTTTCTAAAAAACTAGTGATGGCTAAATATTAATTAGAATAATTATTTAAAAACAAAAATTTCCACGTGATCACCAACATCCCAAAATGCCAAATTCTTTTCCCCAACGGATCAGTCAAGAGAGATGCAACATATTTCTCTAAAGCCAATACACCTAAACATTGCATCGAAAATAATGCAGCTGTATTATGGAACATTAACATGCCCACCAACTCAATTCCTATTGTATCAACATATCTTACACCTAAACTTAAATTTTTACATTCATGCCCCTTTTCTATGCTTTTGTTCAAGTTAAAATGTTAGTATTTTGATTTGATATGAAAGATTTAGTAGTATAGATGGAAAAATATATACTTCAAGCATTAAATACATAAAAATTGGGTGTGTATGTAAATGCCCCCAAATAAAGAAAAGGAAGCTCAGCTTTATAGGAAATACTTGGCGCCAGCTTAATGAATAAATTGGCCACATTAGATGAAAAAAAACCAACATTCTGAAGCAGAAAACAGCACAGCAGTACACAAGAATTCAACGTCATACACAAAAACCCATTTCAACGTCAAACTGAAAATTTTAAACAAACCAGCACAGAATTAAGTTCCTACATATTAGAAAAATATCCCAAACCCCATCCTTCCTCCTACCAAACACACTAGAAGCAAATTAGATGAAAATGACGATATAGAAGTTCAGTTCGGTTTTAATAGAGAGGTTCACCTCAAGCTTCCGCATCCTCCTCTTCCTCCTCGTAGTCCTCCTCTGCGGTCGCATCCTGATACTGCTGATACTCCGCCACCAGATCATTCATATTGCTCTCCGCCTCAGTGAACTCCATTTCGTCCATGCCCTCGCCAGTGTACCAGTGCAAGAAAGCCTTCCTCCTGAACATGGCGGTGAACTGCTCGCTCACTCTCCTGAACATCTCCTGAATGGAGGTGGAGTTTCCAATGAAGGTCGAAGCCATTTTGAGTCCCTTGGGGGGGATGTCGCACACGCTGGACTTCACATTGTTAGGGATCCACTCCACGAAATAGGACGAGTTCTTGTTCTGAACGTTGATCATTTGCTCATCTACCTCTTTAGTGCTCATTTTTCCGCGGAACATGGCCGAGGCGGTGAGGTAACGGCCATGGCGGGGATCGGCAGCACACATCATGTTTTTGGAATCCCACATCTGTTGAGTCAACTCGGGGACGGTGAGGGCGCGGTATTGTTGGGATCCACGGGATGTTAGGGGAGCAAAGCCGACCATGAAGAAATGGAGGCGGGGGAAAGGAATGAGGTTGACGGCGAGCTTCCGGAGGTCGGAATTTAGCTGTCCAGGGAAGCGCAGGCAGCACGTGACGCCGCTCATGGTGGCAGATATGAGGTGATTCAGATCGCCAACTGGAATGAGAACATAAAACGTTTTTAAAGCATTATGCATGTATCTAGTAATTGCAGAAGGATAGAAAAATACAGAATCATACAGATAATGCGAATCGAGTACTTAATATTTTTGGGTTGGAAGATACGCTTTGGCCTTTTTTTTTTCTTCTGCTAATTAAAAAACTTATTTCCCACTTTTGGGTGGGTTAGATTGCAGAGTCTTGTATTTGTTTGGCTTCATTTAGATGGCAGCGTTATTACCATGAATCAACTTATAGAGTTGTTCGTATCTCAATATGAAAGTCTTAACAAAGTCGACCAATTTGAGTTTTAACAAGAAAAAAAAAAGGCATACTCCTATTGCTTCATGGATAATAAATGAAATTTGAATGACTATAAAAAAAAGATGAGTCTCATGAGTACAATTCCTATGTATTTTATATAACACCTAAATCTTTCATCTCACATAAAAATATCACCATTTTAACTTATAAAAAGTGAAATACACCTTTCCATACATACATAAATAGCATATGTATGTAAAGATTGAATTTTGGTTTTGTATATGTATGTAAATACATAGGAATAAAGTGCACGTACGTAGATCTTCCAAAATTAAAAAGAGAAGCAGGAAAGAAAAATGAACTGACATGTAGGGGTGGCGAGCTTGAGAGTGCGGAAACAAATATCATAAAGAGCCTCATTATCGAGAACCATGCACTCGTCGGCATTCTCAACAAGCTGGTGAACTGACAGAGTAGCATTGTATGGCTCCACGACAGTATCCGAGACCTTAGGCGATGGGAAAACTGAGAATGTCAGCATCATCCGGTCAGGGTACTCCTCTCTGATCTTCGAAATGAGCAGGGTGCCCATGCCAGATCCTGTTCCTCCACCCAAAGAATGGCATACTTGGAATCCTACGGGAAAAAAAAAACGTAATTAGTACAAATAGCTAACAGTGTTCAGCAAATTATAATCTTCAACCAAGTTCACAGTTCATACCACAAAAAATGGTAATTCCCAGAAAACAAAACCAAGTTATAGCATCAATGATCTACATTAACTAATACAGGGTGCATAGTCAAGAGGAAACTAAAAATTAGGGAAATTTACATTCTAGCACACAATTCTTTTGTATTAACATATCTCACGCCAAAACTTTCATATTTATATACATAACTCTTTGGTGTTTTAAGCCTATGGATGAAAAGGTGTATTTCACGTTTAAAAGTGGGGATAGTGCTATTTTTTGTGTGAGTGCTATGTGCGTAAAAATGAAAGTTCAGGTGTGAGATATCAATAAGAACTCTGTGCTATGTATGTAAATGCCCCCAAAATTTTATACAAGAAATCACCTACTTTTGCACTGTGTTTCAATACGATTAGAGAAAATTGTACTTAAACAAGTTAAATCAGGTATCAAATCTGAATTTAATTCCATCTTATAACTATAGAAGTGCTAAAAATATAAATCAAATTAGAAAATGCGCATGCATAAATTTTTTAGGCATTTAGCAGACATACTTGGCAGAAATTTTGTAGGCATCTAGCAGGCATACTGTGTCCCTGGAGTTTTGATGAACTTAAGTATCTCTCACAGGTACAACAAATACATGCTGAAACATAAAATCCTTAATGAATGCTACTAAGCCTAGAATTAATTCATGAAGTCATTAACTAATACATGCTGAAACATAAAACCCTCAATTAATGATAATAAGCCTAGAATTAATTCATGCAAGTTATGAACTAATACTTGCAAACATAAATAATTTTCTAAGGATTTCGCAAAATGAAAAGATTTCGCAGAACAATTGAAACTGACAGGAAAGTGCAATGCAGGACAAGTAATAGATTGGAGAGGTTAGCATATAACTCCCCTAAGGTTCAGATATATAATGTAATATTACATAGCCCGCATATGTTTAGCAAAAAATCAAAGAACTATCTGACATTATTTAAGATTTTGTGAAGATTTTACATGATAAAGTATCAAACAACCCCCTTTTTATCTTTTTTTCTCAAGAGAAAATGAGTCAATCACTATTAAACAAATTGAAGGAGGATGAAATAGATAACAGAAAGTATATTTTTGGTATTTTGTCAAACATCAAGAGGTTATATATAATTTAGCCAAATATTAGGATAAGTAAATGACAATTAGCCAAATAGAAAATATTTTGTTTTACCACTCCGAGATCCAACACGACGAGAGTTATTATGGCATAGGCAAAAGAATTGAACGCAATGCTAAGTTGCGGGAGCAACCTTTGCACATAGACAAAGATTATGTATTTAATAATTTGTCAAAACTCAAGGGGCTATATAATTTAACAAAGGACATTGGTTGAAAACCATATGATCATCGCCACCAGAACCACCACAATCATCAAACTAAGAAATATTATTATCATTGCCATCATTCCAATTAAGATTGTCTATGGAACACTGTTCACCGCTTCTATGCTAAGTGTTACATGAGATGAAAGCTATAGAAAAAGTAAACCTTTGGTACAGTACAACCTTTAGCCATGATAATTCTGATCTATCACATTCATTTCACAACTATCACTTTTTTAGCATGGCTAAATTTCATATCGAAATGTTAGAGAACCACATTCCTCCAACACTAGTGATCTGTACTAAAAATCAATTTATCAAATATGTTTGGAAGATTAAAAATACATCTATTGAAAGAATGACAATCTAATCATTCCATAATTACGATCATTCCATATAATGGTACAAAAATGCATGGGTAGATGATCTGAAGAATTTTAAAAAAAAAACTTCAGTTTAAAATTTTCCTTTACGGCTAGCGAGCGTTGTTAAGTGATTTGATTAAAAAACATATTAAGAGCTCGAATACCAGGAGGAAAAATGTTGATCCACTAAAGAGATCATACTAAACTGACAATCACAAAACAATAAAAGAAAAGTTAAAACTAGCCAATCATTCTGTATAATGCTCCTCATCATTTGGTTGCCTGTAGACAAAAACGCATGCATTAGAACCAATAAAGGAAGTTTGTATATATATACAGTTTAAAACAATATTAATTTCTGATTACACAACCAAATGATGGAATCAAGCAAACACGTCAATAATAGAAACACATTATAATTTTCAGAAACAAATGTAGCCAAAAAAAAGTTGGAAAGTATGAATCAGCAAGAAAAATAGCCCAAAAGTAAACTAAACAGCATAGATCTAATACCTTGCAAGCAATCGCAGTTCTCCGCCTCCTTCCTCACCACATCCAGCACAGAATCAATGAGTTCAGCACCCTCGGTATAGTGTCCCTTCGCCCAGTTATTCCCCGCACCCGACTGTCCAAAGACAAAATTATCCGGACGAAAGATCTGCCCAAACGGACCCGATCTAACCGAATCCATCGTCCCGGGTTCCAGATCCATAAGCACGGCCCTAGGAACATACCTTCCCCCGCTCGCCTCATTGTAGTAGACGTTGATCCGCTCGAGTTGAAGCTCGGAGTCGCCACTGTACTTACCGGTGTGATCGATCCCGTGCTCGTCACAGATCACCTCCCAGAACTTCGCCCCGATCTGGTTGCCACATTGTCCACCCTGGATGTGTAGAATCTCCCTCATCTTCTCCTACGCAGATCTGCACGAAGGACAGGATTAGGGTTTCGTCTCTTAAGACGAGAAGAAATGGAGGCGAACGGAGAAGAAAGAACACTGAAGAGATCCAAGATTTGAGTTATTTTATCAGAAGGAATGGAAGTCTGATAACGCGTGGTGAGGTTACCTCCATCGCGAAGCGGTTTTACGGACGAGTCTTATTACGGCCATCCGAGTATCATTTTTATGCGGAGAGCAAATCTACCGTTCATATGGGTAATTGATATCAGTAATTCAAATATTTGCTGTCCTATGCGGACGACCGCAATGATTTACATCAATGTGTTTGCTGTATTCACGATCTTATTGATTTTGGCGGTTTACTTGAGCCGTCTGTCCTGCAAGACAATCCGGTCCAAGGGCATTCATCACCTAATCCTTATGTATTTACATTTCGAACTGCTGGACATTCAAACTTTTAATATCAAAGCAAATTTATTTTTTATGCATCGATTTATGACATCCAAATATGATCAATTTAAATATGCAATTTTAACAGCTGATAGAAATGTAAATACATAGAAATTATGTGGTATGTATGCAAATTTTCCTTTTTGAAATTAAAATGATAAACAATGATATGGCTGTAAATTGACTTCAAAATTAAATTATAATTTTATCATATAAGATAGAAATGAATAACAATCATAAAATAGAAAAAATATGACAGCTTCAATAATTATAATTCATATATAGATATATTTGATACAACATCATCAAATTTCAATAGCCGTTAGAAACCTCTAAGTTATGGCACGATTCTCAAACACCTTTTTCAGCAACATATACTCAAATTTTGATAAAAGTAACCCGAATGTCCAATTTCAACAAAATTACAATTAAACTGACGGATTGAAGACTCAATGATACTAAAATTAGTCAAATTTGAGTAAAACTAAGCTTAGATCAAGACATTAAACCATTTTTAAAAGCTTTCAGAGCATATTTGAAAGATCAAACAGATTCTAAAACGGGTGAGCTCATAATTCAATCAAGTATATCAACAAGACAAATCTAATACGTCTAAGAATGCTCAATTTTGGCATCCTTAAGACAGTTTAATGTCCCTCAAATGTCATATGATTGAGGGAATTTCTTCGAGTCTTTCGATCAAAATAGTTTATATTTCTTCATTAATTGCAATGAAAATTCTATAAATAGATCTCCACCCCTCATGAGAGAGGGATGAGAATTTGAAGTCTGAATAGAGAGCTTGACACCTAGAGAAAGAGCACTACTCTTACAGCAGTCGATCGTGACGACACCAACCACTTTCGACCACCACCTGTCGCCGTCCATTTCTTGCGACAAGATTCTTCACGCACCAACATTGTAAATTGAATGATTGGGTAACTCTTTCATGGATAAGAGATTTTATGTGCAACCACTAGTTTATATTAGATTTTCTTCAATAGGTCTCATGGTTTTTTTTCCATTTATGGATTTTCTATATAAAAAATTCTATTATTTCTACCTTGTATTTCTTTTATCAGAGTGTGCGTGTTGAATTTCCTTATGATACTAAGACGATAATCTATTACTCTGCAGTCACAAATCTTCTAACACACATCAATATTAATTATCTATAATTTATTTTATAGAATTATATTAAGATTAGCATTGGTATAATATGTTTATTGAGGAACATTTAAAGTTGATATAATTTAATTCGATGTATTGTAAAATAAAAAAGAATAAAATGTGAAATATAGGTGATTTATGGTTTTTTTTTTTTTTAAAGCACCCGTCTAAATATCAAAAATATGCATAGTTACATCAAAGGTGTAAATCCAGATTGGCAGATTCGATTGGAGTTTGACTCAACCCCTACTCAAATATCATACGGGTCTGACCTGTTTCATATAAGGAATAACAACTATTCAGTGCTAAAATCTACTTTCAGGTCAATTCCAAGTTGGCGGATCATTTTTTAGTTAATTACAGGTTGGCGAGTCATTCTAAGCTATTCAAAACACTCAATAGAAAGATATTCAACCTGAACCAGACTCAAAATTTATTTGAGCCAAACTGAACTCAAATTTTTTGAGTCTGTGTTTAGGTCGAGTTCACATATCATGTCATTTTTAGAGCAAATCTTATGTACGGCGACTGCAAATTCGAATGACTGTCATAATGAACCGTCGTGCGATACACAACAGTCTGACCACACCCGAATCATCGTCCCCTTAAGTCGCATATCTCTAACCAAAAAGAAATTTAAATTTGAAGACAAATTAGATTGGTGCCCAACTCATTTAATTATCAAACAAGTTGGAAGGAGTGCCGGGCCAACAAGATCTTGAAACTCCATAATTTTAAAAAAAATCTTATCCTTATCATTTACTATGTATATAAATCTAATTAAAAAAAGGGAAAAGAGTTGCACGGTTGCCACTCAAGTTACAACGTGAACCTCAAAACTTCAGTTTTTATATTCATACGACCTTACCTCATATTTGTGTGATATAAATATAAAACTGGGTGGTATTTATGTAAATGCTCCCTTAAAAAATAAACAATATATAAAGAAGTTGGAGAAAGCGAGTGGAGAGCAAGTTGCTCTGGATCCCAAAGGAGGGAATTTGGGTTTCCCGTTTCTTTATAAGAAATTAATTATGATTGCAAAAATACTTATTAAGTGACAAGTGTTTTAGCCTTTTGGATCATCAAATAAGGCATGCCATACTCAATTATTCTAATTAAAAAAAGCTGTCGGAAATAGGGCTATAAATGAGCTCGTGTTCGAAATGGATCGTGAACAGTGTGTTCGTGTTTGACTCGAATGATATTTTTTGTTCGTATTTGGCTCGACATTGGAGAAGGAGATGAGTAGGAAGAGGAGGAGAGTCCTAAGCTCTCGGAAGATGACTCGGAAGAGGAAGAGATAGACGAACGCAGACAACAAACCCTGAGCTCAACCGCCGAAACCCTTTCGTGATTTTGAGAGAAGAAGGAGATGACTCGGAAGAGAAAGAGAACCGAAAGAGAATTTTCGAGAGCAGACGAACAGAAACGGCAAATCTTAAGCTCTCACCACAGAAATCCTTTTGCGATTTTGAGAGGAGAAGGAGATGGCTTGGAAGAGGAAGAGAGCCGAAACAGATATCTCAAGAGCGTAGGTTGGACGGGATTAGGGATTTAATGTTTCTTTAGTAACAGAGTTATTTATATTACATTATCATATTTATATAACTTATGTAATAAAAGTAAAAAAAATTTTATTATTATTAATTTATCATATATTATAATTTTATAGGATTTATTTTTTAAAAAATATAATAATTTTTCTTTAAATTTGATTGATTATAATTTATAATAACTAATTCTATCAATATTTATAATGTGAC